ATGGGAGAGGTCGTACCTTGTTTTATTGTTTTACGGTAGGATTAACGTAGTTATATCTGTTTTAGTCTAAGTGCTTTTTGTTTAGATGAGGTTTAGGGAAGTCATTTATGGGGTCACACTCTGCCCCCCCGCCACACACACACACACATACACACACATGTACACCTCCACATTTCAATGTACGGAACAAACGCTCACTGAAGCATATAAATAAAGACCAGGGCAGTCCTCAGTGCTTAGTCTCTGAGCCTCACTCTTGGTGTGTGAGTTCTGGAGGCTGCCCTTGCTAGCAAGAAAATCTGTGTGTTTCTCCTCTCTGATTCTCTGCTGAAGAAGTGTTTTAGAATATATCTCTTAACACTTATTTAAAGATTTTAGCAATATTTTTGTCATACGGGACAACATAAATTAACTTTAAAGGGATAAAGACTTGTCTGACTGTGAAACTGGATAATGAGGTTACCAGTAGATTATTCTCACAACCTGAGTCACATCTCTTGTGTTTGCTTCTTTCCTAGTTTGGGATAAATTAACTTGAAATGTGAAAGCAAAAACAACATGTGCTACAAGTACATTAGAACAAAATGTAGCTGTGCTTTCTGATAGATAACAGCATCTACTGGAAATAGCAAGAGATAAAAAAAATAAGTCAAATGCGTGCAACCATTACATTTTATTACGCTCATTAAGAGTTTAAGACTTACCTGATTGTGAGATTCTGCTTAACATTCTTATCAATAACATTTATATTCCCAATAACACTCATTTAATCTAAACTATTCATTTAAACAGGGGGCTATCCAAGCCTTTGGGTTTTGAAACCACTAACTTTTCCCTTTAAAGAAAAGAGCAACTATAACTCCAACTCAAGTGGGAAAGATAAAGCAGGAAATTGATACTCCTTTCATCTTGTACTCAAAATATAACTGTTCAATTAAATAAAAGGAATGAAACAGTTGGACAACCTGGAGCCCAACTGATCAATTTAGACAGGAAAAAGAACATCACAACCAATTAGTTGCTATACTCCAAGACAGCCCTTTCCCACACTTGGGAGCTCCGGTATTGACAAATGCAGGGGGATTAGTGCTTTAGAGTGTGATGACAGTTGATTGTTACAGCCGATTTGATGCTGCAGATGCCAAACCAAAGAGGAATTACTTTAATGGACATGAGCAAAAGAGGGGGTGGGGGGGGGGGAAAAAGGCTAATTATTTTCCTCTTCACAGTCCTTGATTTCCTCCCTTGGGTCATCAATGGTGATTGATTCTTATTGTGTAACCGATGACGAAGTTTGCAGCGAACATGGAAACTTTCGAATAAGAAGTCTTGTTAGAGCTCAACTAAGGATGCCGATACAGAAATTAGGGCTGTTTTCATTAACCTATAATGAATTCATTTGTGCTGATGATTACAGCAGCTGCTGAATTTTTTAATCACGACCGTTTCATGTGGAGTTTAAGACATGCGTAAGAGGAAGACTCTCCCTTTAATGTACCTAAAACTGGACCCAAAAACCTAATGATAGTCTGTAAACAAGGTATCACAGCATACAGTGCTAAAGCAGACTCTCAAAAGAGATTAAGGCATGCGCCTGACACTTCTGAGAAAGAAATATACTGACTAGAAATATATGTTCATGAGGCCTGCCACGAATAATCATGAACACAACCAGGAAGATATTGACTGTTTATAAAGAGGGAGCGTACAGGTCTGCCGGGGTTTGCATATTTAATTTCTTTTATCACATTTCCGTCTCGCTCCTGCACGGAGCTGATGAAGTTATTAATTTTCTGTTTAAAGAATTTTCCAGTAACTCTAAAGGAGATTCCTTTAGACAGATGGATAGAAATGGAATGCTTTCAACAAACTGTCAGCGCCAAGAATTTACTATCACATTGCATACCGAGTAAAATTGCTCTGACAGCAGTTTGGCTACCATTTGGACAACCTACATATTTTGAAAGAGTGTTGTGAAATATTAGAGGAACGTTTTTGAGCTATTGTGTCGCGAGGCAGAATCCACTGGACTGAGAAAATGGTGGCTATTGTTCACACAACCTAAAAACAGAACAAGAGAGTAAAGAAATACAACATAGATGTTCGAAACAAGATGCTATGCGTATGGGACGCTGTCTCGGTGGAGGTGGATAGAGGCTTTACTTTTCTCCGTGATATGGAAGACTTCACTGTCTCAATGGCGGGGATTGCTGCAGAGCCACTATTGAGTGCTTTGTAAAGACCTGCCCACCAGGGACGGAAACCATCGCAGCAACCAGAAAACAAAGATGAGAAAGAGGACTTTGCTGGCTTACAGAACATCAAACATTCTGGAGAACATTATCGCAGAGGACAAACCAGAATGCTGCGCGGGGTAATGGCATATTTGATAGTGGTTCTTCACATTTATATCTTTAAATCCATCTTGTTGGAGCTTTGGGTTGTACTTTGGTGTGTAAAGTCAAAGATCTAACTGTAATTTATTGTTTTGTTTTACGTTTCTTTTTCTTTTTTTAAGATGATGGATTAAAAAGGATTATAAACATGAAGAAGATTTGAAAAGCAACAAAAGTTTTTCATCTCTCAAACCATTCAAATGGAGGCTTACTGCTATTGGCAATAGAGAACAATCACTTGAAGGTCCAGTATATTTTGAAGAGCTACTCACCCACTTCAGACATCTCAGGGACCGAAGCTACAAAGGGTCCATCTGGAAATTTGGGTGCATTGTCATTGATGTCTTGTACTTTGATGATGAATTCTGACTTTGGTTCCAGGGCCTCCTCTGTGTTACGGTCCAACGCTTGCGCATGGAGGACATAATGTGTTTTCCGTTCCCGATCCAAGCTCTTAGTGGCATGAATATCCCCTGTCACTTCATCGATGATAAATATAGTCCCAGCTCCTTCGCCGCTCAGAATGTACCTGACAGATCCATCACCTTTGTCTGAGTTTGAGTGAAGCTGGAATGAAAAACAAACAAAGTGTGTGTGAATATGGAGAAAAAAAACAGTGCAAAGTCAAATTTCTTCTTAACAACTGCAAAATACCTGCAAGATAAAATTACTAAGGCGCACTTAAAGTCTGTTTTGAAGTCTGTTTTAAGCTTTTCTCATTTTAATTACAACTTCATCATAAAATTAATTGGAATATCTGCAGATTTTGGTCTTAGTAACATGAAGGCTTTGGAGTCTTGGAAATGATCTGTAGATAAACTGATAAAATACTGTTGAAAAATATTAAAATTAGTATTAGAATTGTAACATCTAATTTGAAAATCCTTTCTCTGGCTCGTGCTAAAGTAATGCATCCTTGGAGATTGAAGTTTTGGGGGGACAATCTTTCCAAAGCTGCTCTTTTTTCTCACCAGGGGAGAGAAGAAGAGGAAGCCAAGCCAGTTATTAAGCCATAATTGTTACCAAAGGGGTTAAGATTTTTATCCCCACAGCTCAGCAGGCCGTTAGATATGAATAATATTGTACTATTTTACAGAATGTCAAAAGAAGGATACAATAGTATTAAGATTCAGATTTGAACAATTCAATTTTTTCATCTTTAAGCAATAAAAAAAGCATCTGGTTTGAGGGAAGATTTAGTCTATGGATACACTAGATGTAGGCACATATGCACTAAATAAATCATTTCTATTAGTTGTAAAGACTAAATAGTAAGCAGCACAACACAAAAGGTGAAAGAACATAAACTCATACAAACTGATATTTTCAGTGGATCAGTGGAAAAGATTTATCACATTAACTAGTTTTAGCTGAGAAGTAATAAATCACAGTCACAGTTCTGTTCAATGACAATTAGCAGCATCTGACATAGCACTAAATTTTTACAGTCACCAACAGTTCCTAACAGAGGACCACAGAAGGTAAATCATAGACACGCTAAAGAAAAAACATTTAAAAAATTTGTATTTATTAAAAAAATGCAAACACAGACAAGGAACAAGCTGGGACTCGTTTGATTTGCAGGGGTGCAGCAGCAGTGTTTCCAGGGAGACACAAGTCAAAGCCTTAGATGCCTAAACTAGTTTGTCAACAAATAACCTTCCCCACTGACATATCGAGTTTGGGCTCAGCAATATGAAACTTAAAAACACTGAATGCAATAAAGAATTTCCTCAGTGCTTTGTCAGCTTAAGAATATCAACCTTTTTGTCCTTGAGATGGATCAGACTCTCCCAAATTCAGTTTGACAAGGACCAAATGATGATAATGTACAGTATATGCAGTATTATAATACAAACCTAAGCCAAATAAGATAGAAAACCCTCTGCATAGCACACACTCTCAAACCACAGCAATTAGACCCATTTCCTAGATGAGATAAAGAAGCAGTAAGGCTCTCATAGAAACACTGGCGCAACATTACTGTGAAACAGTTGCTTTTGTATTAGCACAAGGCATTAATGAGAACTTTAAACCAATGGAACACAACTGGTACAAGTATTTAGCTTTCTGGCTGTATCATTTTACAAAGTAAGAGTCACAAAGGCTTATACTGAAAATCATCTGACAAAGAATTGTTTATTTCTATAAATAATTAAAGTGATTATTTTTAGTGTATATGAAAGTGTTGGTAATGTGCTATCAAGGATTTTTAATAAGTGGCCAGCTAGCAGCTTTGATTTTATTGTGGGGGGGAAGAAAAAGGACTGGTGCAGCGTCTGAATTAGGACACAGCTAAAATGTTTTGAAGTGCAGAACTGAAGACAAGACAGCCCATTTTCAAAGTAACCTAAATATAGTAGCAATTCATCTTACCATTCAATTCACTGAGCGCATTTACGAGTGCACTCGTTAAGACTCATCATATTGTGTCTTTTTTGTGTTTGCTTTTTGCACCACAAGAAAAGCTGTATAACCTCCCTGTAACATGCAATAGGACATGTGATGTTAAAGCGCTGCTCTATTTTCTATTTCACGTGAGTTAAAGAAAAGCTGAATTAGAATAGCAAAGAAGGACACACAGTCTAAAGTGTACAACCGTTATAGAATACACAGAGTTATTTAACATGTCCTCAGCGGCGGTCCTCTGGCCACATCTAATCAAAACCTGGACTAGCAAATAAATGACTAATTAGAAAGCTGCAGCTGATTGCAGCCTGACTCTTGATGAGAGCTGACTGTCCTTTCTGTGGTAAATATCAAGCCTGTAATTAGATAAGCAGTCAAAGATCCTGTTGAATTAGGTGGTTAATCAGCTTCTTGATTGTACTAATATGAACCTACAAAGCAAGAAATCAGGATGTGTCCACATAGTAGTGGACACAAGTTACTTTTAAGACATGATTTGACCCACTTTTAATTTAGTTCCAGCAATTTAGAAATGTTAGTTTCAAGTGTTGGCTGTAGGAGGATAATCGAATCACCCAATATATTAAATAATTCAAACATAGAGAATTACAGATATTACTTAACAGTTCAATTCTATATCTTCAACATGCACGTATTCGCTTCTATCAAGCAGCACTCTGCTCCAGCTCATAAACAATTTTGCCTCCAGTCAGACTGCTAATTTAGCCATTGACTTGTTTTGAAGGAGTTAATATATTGTGCTTGGCAAAAGCACAAACCACATGATGCACATGGTGATGATTGCCTTCCAAAATCTATGGATGATGAATGATTGTTAACAGGTTGCGGGTCATTACATAAACACCAGAGGCTCAAAGTACAGCAGCTGAGAATAAAACAATACGACAATGAACGTTTAAATCAAAGAGTTTAATGAGCAATAAGGATGTCTGCTCAGTATGGTAAGTGGTCTTGACTCATCTTCATGATAGACATGTAGCACATGCAATGCCTTTGATAAATAGTCTGTCCATTTTGATCATCAACATGTTCAAGCTCCCCAACCTTCTCTGCTAACAAATATGGTCTCTTCACCATTTTTAGAGTTTCTCTAGTCCATTTACCTTGCTGCCTTATGCCGGGCTCACACTGTGCGATTTTTGGCCCATTTTGAGCCAATTTTTGAGTCGTGCGAACGTTTTGACGATCGGCCCGATTTTGGCCTTCATCGTGCGTCGTGTAGTATACGTGGGGTAACGAGAAGCGATTAACACCTCACGACCAGCTCCCGATCATCAATCGCTTGGTTGTGAGGATTTCAAACCTGTTTGAAATCCTCGCGACCGTTGTGAGGGTGTCACCAGTGTTGCCAACTCCTCAGTAAGGAAAATCGCTATTGGTTGTCCTAAAAGTCGCTTAAAGTCGCTAAATGACGTCATCACCTAATTTGCATAATTGGTCATGCTAATGTAATTGTAACCTACG